GGGAATCCCCAGAACCCTTCGGTCCGACGCCAGTTTTGAGACGGAGTACATATAAGCAGCTGACTTCGGGGATCTCGGAGACTTTGGGCTGAGAACCCGCATCGAGTGCTTCTGAAATCCAGGTCAGCTGATTCCAAGTCTTTGAACCTACCTCCTCGAGAAGTCCATTGTCACTATAGAGATTGATGCATGAAGGTTGATTTTTGTTGTACCAAGATCTATATAAACCAGTTGAACATCAACTCCACGAAGCTCTCGTTTTATTTTTCGTTGTGAAGATATTTTTTCCTTAATACGGCACCCGCCACGGCTTGAACTCGCGCTGCGAGATTACGACCTTCAATTTTCCACTGCTCTGAGATCACGAACGTGGGTAGAGTTAGTGTGGATCGAAGCGACCAACAACCAACTTGGACCAGCGTCAGCATTGATCAGCACAGAGTTAGCTCCGTGGTTAAAACATCATTCTAAGACCCTGAGGACTGGACCACTAAAACGTGGCTACACCACCGGGTGTAGGCGACGGCGAAAGGTGTTATAAGAAACTTCAAATGTAGTTGGATTAATTATAGAGTAGTCTCCCGTTATTTATTTTATAATCCACGCAAGCAGGTTATAAGTAGTATGAATATAAATCTGGGTGGTTTCTTAACATGGTCACTTAGCTGAAACGAAGCACCGTCAACACAGTCTCACGCTGCAAGCTGCTAATTTGTATAATTTCGCATCAGACGCATAATCTGATCTCTGAGATCACTACTTCGTCACGTAGCCACGCAACCACAGACTCGGACGTCGTTCTCTCTGGGATCTTCGCGGAATGACCTACTCGTCGTTCACTGCATCGCTGGTATTTGAGCCAACGACACGTCTTATACTAATACATGCCTCAGCACCCCCTTAAACGACACATTATTTCTTGACTGTATACTAGTTAAGACTGTTTCCCCCAAATTCGTCGCGTAGCGAACGCCTGGGCAATAGACCCAAATTCCCACCACGATTTTGACGAACGCATATTCTATCTTCATCGACTACAAGTACAAATTTTGGATGCTTCCATTCACATTTAAACACTGCTCTTTGCAGCAACGATTCTTCCTCCTTCAAACCGATATGTTATACCAGAACATTGCTTCAATTGAATGCTCTTCCGCTTAGATTTGGCCTTAATTGTGCAGGAGTGTCTCTCCAAAGAGAGAGGCACGGTGGAGTAATGGATAGCGGCTTGGATTGAGGAATCGGAGAGCCGAATTCCAGTCGAATCCATTACATTCACTTACGTGATAAAACCCTTGGGAAAGGTGTGAATCCTCTCTCTTCTCCCTCCCGCTATAGGTAAATAGCAGGACAGACTGGGTTCTATAGCCTTGGATGGCAACTGGTCTAGGAGAAGGAAAACTCTGAATTCAAACCTGCTCTTAGAGGAGTCTCTCTGAGCCTTGGTTGGCAATCCATTTAGTGTTGGTGCCACGATAAAAAACACCCTTGATAGCCCTAGCGAAGCATCAAGAATTCAGCTATTTGACAAGATTATGAACTACACCAATCAAAGTATTGGTGAGTTCAATCTCGGTTGAGGCCGCAAGATGATGATGTCTCTCCACAATTCCATTCCAACTCGGTCGATACGTAGCTCTGAAATAACTTTGTATATACACCCTTGTGCAAATTAATTTAAAAAAAAAAAACGCTTTAATTTCCTTTCTTTCAACATACGGTCACTTTTAGACCCAAGCGATTTTTATTTTTTCCTCAGATTAGGTCAGTGCAGTGGTGTGCCGTAATGTCGTATTATGAATACATTTTCGGTGTGTTTGATGAAATTTGTTTGGCCTTGAATAATATTGCGTCATCCGTGATTGCATCAGATTTTCATCACGCCCAGATACTATTGTCTCGACTGTCGATTAGTTGTCCTACGGCCATTGTCTGTGAGGATGTTACCCCAAGGAAACGTACGAAAATTGTAACGCTGCACAAACACACTGGCAAACGTTATCAGTGAGCAAATCAAAGTACTATAGACGGGCCCGGGAATTGGCTGTTGATTACCAATCAGCATGCAGCACCTACTGTTCTTTCGGGATTTTGGGGTTTGATCCAGGCAAGATTTCTTCGCCAGTGTGAGTACATCTGCCTTGTTTTTTTTTCTTTTATGTGCCATGTTCTTTCAGGATGTAGGCGATCATGGCTCTCCAAGCTCAGTCATCCACCTGCTCAAGCTCGCCAGGTATGACACGCGCTGCTTTTCTTTGTCTCTCTTTCCCTCTATTCGACCCGTGAGTATCAGATTCTTCAGGCCCTCCTTCCTCATTATGTTTCCCAGAAACTTCAGCTGTCTCTTTCTAATGTTAAGTATAAGCCATCTCCTTGTTTGCAACCTAAGACCTCATCGTTGCTCGGTCCATGATATCCTTAACATTCTTCTGTAGAATCACATCTACGTTGCCTCGAGTCTCTTCATCTTTGAGGAAATCGTCCAACATTCGCTGCTGTAAAGAAGGACAGATGTTACGTAACAACTCAGTCTTCTTTTCTTTGTTACTAAAGAAATCCTCCTGTTTCGCAATACTATGGCCAGCTTTTGAAATGTGTCCTTGGCCACCCTAATATGTCTACGGATATCAGTGTAAGTGTGTATTAGTTATTTTCGTAAACACTGACTGAGATACTCGGTCAGTGATGTAAACAAAAACTGTTGAACTGCAGATACACATTCAATATATTCGACTGAATAAAAGAAATATAAAAATAATCAATCAAAAATAGAGAAAGAAATCTGAATTTTTTTTTATATAACATTACCATCTTTGGAAATATACATACACAAAATAAAGCGGCTTATTTAATTAAATCATCTCATTTCATATTAATGGAGATCACTTAATGTTTACAAAAGTTGGGGTCCAAAATACCAGGAGGATTTATGAGAGTAATATTTTGAACTTGCAAATAAATCTAATTTTATTCAATGGTGATCAAAGCTTTGTTGAACGAAGATGGTTTCAGCAGAAAGACAGATGAATGAAACGCCCAATAAGCATCGAATTCATCATGTCATGCAAAACAAACACGGTATAGCCATCACTTTACAGAAGATGTTCTTGCAACCTTACACTGTGTTGTTTTAAGAAATCATCTGTGTAACAAAAAAAAAATTCCTATTCAGACAAATAAAACTGTACTAGACAACAATCTTAGGCTCCGACTTCATTTCCATAAATAGATTTCAAGCATTTCATTCTGATTCCAGGCTAACTTTTGCTGATGAAATTTGCGAGACAACTACCTCGGCTGTTAAAAATTACTCCTGGGACATTAACCCATAGACTTCAGATGAAATTTCCGACATTGCAGTTCTCTGGTTCAACTGCGAATGACGGTAATTTCTATTATTTCAGTTCTCTGGCTCAACTGCGAATGGTTTGATTTGTTTTATGGCCAATCAACTCATTGGCTCATTTAATGCCAAAATTTAATGTTTTTTTTTTTCTAAACAAAGCCTTGTATTTAAACAGTCAAAAATTTCAATAGGAAGTTTGCTGTTAGTTATGGTTATATATTTTTTTCAAATCAGTTTTGTATTTTTTAGCGTTGCATTGATTTCCATTTTGCTATAAAAATGTATAGTTGGTCATTTTATTATAAAAGTGTACTGTTGATTTTTGCTTGAGAGGGGGGGGTCACTATTTGCCCATAGCTGGGACCCTTATAGCATTTAAGAGGTTTTTCTTTTCCATGCTCCTCAAAATCTCACATCTTCCGATCAAAGGCGTTGCTGTTGAACGTAGTTTATCGTCATATCCAGGACGAAACTGCGAATGATGGAAAACTTAGCCGCAATTAATAAGATTATTAATGGCAATTTTTTTAAAATTAAAATGTCTCCAGCTTTGAAGAGGTTGAGATTCCATGTTTTAAATTTACTTAAAGAAAGAAGTAAATAAACTTAGTAACAGTAGACATGACAATCGTAATGCAACGTCAGATGAGTCAATTGGAAAGAGCTTTGTTATCTTCAGCTGGGATCACGTGATTTACAACTTTCAAGGAAGCCATGACAGTGACACTCTGCACAGTAGACGAATTCTCAACTTGCTGCGTCTTATCGTTGAAGATAAAACGTCACGATTTGTGATTCCCCGATTTCTTGAGGGGTTGCTGAGTGTGTGGTGATGTTTGACATCATCACATCAACACCATCAAAGTAATATGTTTTTCTTGGAAACATGCTGAATAACAAAGCGGAAGCCATAACAAATTTATTTTGTTACAATTGTTATAATTGCAATAATGAATTTAAATACAGATTTGCTTATTTTCTTTTCTCGATAATTATTGATGAGGTTTTGAAAAAGGTAGAAAGGAAGATGTGGAAGAAGAAGACAACAGAAAGGAAGAGCGAATGAAGAAGAGGAGGATTCGATTATCTTACTTTTCTTTTTTAAACGATAGGTGTGCTCCAAATTGCAGAATTTTTCAACACACACACACACACACACACACACACACATATATATATTTCTATAATTATATATATGCTTGGATCAGAAAATAATTTTAGGGTACGTCGACGTGATGTAATGGTTAACAAGTTTGTCTCGTTAGATCAATTAAGACTGAATAGCGAATACGATCCTCGCTGGGTGTCTCATACTTTCGGCCTTGTACCACATCTAAGCTACGCTGGGAAAACTTCCATATACATACATCTATAATATTAAAATTCTGTCATAAAATTTCAATGCTTAAAATATTTATAGATACATTTATTTGCAATGATTGATTTTAAATTCAGCGATAACGTAGGACAAATTGATATCAATAATCAATATTTTTCACTCTCTCTGCTGCGTTTGTGTTTCTTTGTGATAACGAAATAGTTGTGAAGCACGACAGACACAGAATCCAATTTCATTGAAGAACTTAACAAAAAACCGAACATTCTCAAAGAGCAGACCACGTATTATTAAATGTGAAACGACATTTCAAGACTTACGGCTACATCTTGTTGAAAAACCGGCTCCCGTACGATCATCAACGTTAAGCAACGTCGAGCCTGGTCAGTACCTAGATGGGTGACCAGTTGAGAATACCAAGTTCTGTAAGTTTTCGTGTGCGGGTGATGTGATGTGATGTATAATGACTCAGAAAGGTTAATTGGAGAGTCGAATACCAATTCCAGTCATGTTCGTTATATTCACTTAGACGCAAATACCCTTGAAATCGACCTCTTCTCCCTCCAGCTATGGGTTAATTAGCAATAACTGTATGACTAAACCATTATTATCTCCAAAAAGTAATTGAGGTTTGGGGGCGAATAACATGCAAAGCGTTGATAAGCCGTAGAAACGAATCAATAAAATAATAAATAAACATTTCAAAGACAATACTTGTATAGAGATTTAGACTTAAAATTTATTACTAGTTTTTATGCTTATTCTAGCCGAATTAACCATTTTCTTGAGAGAAAATGGATTGATTTTAAAATTTAAATCATTGTTATAATTTGTGGAGAAAATTGATGCATTTCAATATTACTCAATAATCTTGCTGATGTGACCTCCATGTTCTTTCTCCTACATTTTGGATAGGAGTCATTTCTTTGTTCAAATTTAAATTTAATTTAAATCAAAAGGAAAAAAAATTCAGTTGCCCGCTTTGATAAAAATGAAATATACTTATCCAAGTACCCTAGGTATTCTAGTTTCAGAATATATATAGTTATGGATGTCTATCTGACAGACAGAGGCTACAACTTTATATATATATATAGATCTAAAATCTCGCTTATGTTTATTCTACAGGATCACTCTACTTTTCTTTTGTTTTTAAATTAGCTAATCAAACGATAATGCCATTGATACGCGGGGGGGATATTGAGAGTGAAAGAAAACGAGAAGACTTTAGAAAGAACCAGAATTCCAATCCTAAAAGAAGGGATAAACTTCTACTCCTGTTCAAAAAACCAAGGTGGAGTGTCTGCCAAAAGAACTTCTGCTAACGATCGCAAGACAACGTTGCCAAAAGCAGTATATAAAAAAATCCCTCACAGGATGACTGCGAGATAGAACGCGTCTCGTTTAGCTCGGGAGAATTTTCAACGAAAACTCCTGTGGCATTGAGCACAACACAGAACGTACACAGTGTACAAATACCATAAGCTTACTTGACATAGGTATTAGATAATAATTCTCCCAAACTAAATACTTGACATAGGCATAGATATTAATTCTACCAAACCAACGAACAATTCTTTTCAGATGTAACTCTCGCGTAGTTTCATGAGAACTTTGCACGCAAGTATGTATAAAAAAAAGGGACATATCTGCATACACACAATCGTTCACCCGCTTTTGCTTTCTCTCTATTTAGTTTGATAAGGCAATAAATATGTTGTTAATTATATACATACAATTGTAGCCTCTGTGTGTTTGTTATCGAACTCCTAGGATTTTGGAGATAGACCACCATAACCATATATATTCTGAAGCTACATTACCCAGGGTACTTGGATAAGTATATTTCAAAGGGATCACTGAAGGGGCACAAACCCCTCACTGATTTTTTTCCCTTTGATTTAAATCAAATTTATATTTGAACAAGGAAATACAGAAGGAAAAAGTCAGAAGATGGAGGTCACATCGGTAAGATCATTGAGTAATATTGAAATGCATCATTTTTCTCCACAAATTATAACAATGATTTAAAATCAATCATCATTTTTTTAAAGAAAAAATATGTGACACGCAGCAAGGCGCGGGTAATTTGGCTAGTTGTATATAATTGTTCGTATATTCATTCTTATACTTTCTTAATTGAAGAAACATCAGTTCGTCCACTATCAACTAAGATTACTATAGTATCTCTTTCGCTAAATATATTCCCGTTTCAAAACAGGTAACCCTACTACAATCTTTGTGGAACTCCACGTCCCGTTTTCTTGTTTTCCAATCAACTTTGTTCTTTAAAAATTTAAATGCAATATCAATTGTTATTTTTGACAATTCCTGTTCTTTGATTTTTCTCTCTCTCCTTAATAAGGTTTTTCTTTTTTCTGATAGTCTTTCACACTCAGTACCCCCCTTGCGTCTTAGTGGCTTTATTTCCTTGCTTGGGGTGAAATGATTAAAAAAAAAACAAAAACAAAGCTTTATTTTGGTAAATATGTAGCATATTTTATCCGCAAGAAATAAATAATAATTAATTTATAGAGAAAAAAAGACAGGGTTTGTCTAATAAACAACGTTCGATGAAAATTGGCCCAGACCTGTCAGAGCGAGAGGTACTAACTTTTCTTTATTTTCTCAACAAATTTTTATATCTCCTATTCTTTTATACCTGCCCTCATCCTCTTTAGAAATTGTTCCTTTTTTGTCTTCATATAACGCTGTCTCTTCTCTCTCTCCTTAATACTGAAGATATTATAAATACCTCAGAGTAGACGTTATTGGAGTCTAATAATATTGAAACAAGACGGTATTATATCACCTCTCTTAATCTGTAGTAACCTAACGTAGCCTATAGTGAGTCACGTACCCCAATCATGAAGGGGACAGACTCTACCGCCGTATTTTCGGATAGACGTATAGTTTTCATACGGTACGATAGCATTCCTGACGGCGAAAACCAGTGGGAGGACTCTCCTTCGAAAACTTTGTGTATCTCACAGTAGAATTGAATTCCACTGTGGGACCATAATAACTCTTTTCTACAGGTCTCGATGCTAAAAGCTTTTTGCCTGTGTGTTCATTGCAAGCTTAGCATAGCGTGGAATTTGAATGCAGTCACCGAGAGACCGGAACGAAACTACTGAAAGCGTTTTGTCTGTTTAATTTTATTAAGAATCCACCCGTTTCCATCATCGATGGGTGACTGACTCCTAGTCAGAAACAATCACTCACCTAATGACTCGGCCTACATTTCTGTCTGGGGTGGGCTATCACTTTGGCAATGAAATAAGGTAATTGTTGCAAAATGGGATTAACACAGAAAAGATTTTTTTTAAAATCCGAGCTGGGTAAATTTTGAGAACACTCAAACCTGTCATCAATTCATCTCTTTGGAGGTACTTACTATCGCCTGACGAAGTACAAAGTATTGAAACATGAAAGCTTTTGTGTAGCAATTTCCACATGTTTTTATTATAATCTCTTATAATAAAAATAATATATTGCTCTACTTTGTATTGAGCACTTTTTAAAATTAAATGCTACGAACAGTGGATTTTTACATTTGTGTGTGTGTATATATATATATATATATATATATATATAATATACGCACACATATACATGCGAATAAGTACTGGCTGAATGAGTTAGCTCTCATCTGAAAGGAAAAAACATAGGAATATTTTAAATTTCGTAGACGCCAACTGATACTGCCTCCATCTTAAGGGTTAAGTCGGAGGAGGGAGATTATCCGTTTTGCCAGACCAACAGAGGTCACATAATTAATCCAATTCTGACGCACTAATCATACACATCTATTCTTAAAGCATTAAGATTTTTAAAATTTTGAACAAATATTTTTAATATTATTTGATGACTCAAAAGGTTTGCAAGAATTTTAAACGTTCAACAAACATTTCCTGAAAAGTGAGCTCTACATAGTTTTCATAGAGCTTAGTATTCCTTGGACTTCGCATAGGGTAAATGATGTATATTTTGGTTTTATATGTATGTGTGTGTGTGTGTCTAACCCAGTTCGACTTTAGGATGGGCTGAACAGATGCTGAGAAGAAATTTACAGTTTTCCGGTATGCCTCCAGATGTGGGATGCGCTCGTTATGTTGTCCAAGTTAAAAGAGATGCTGGAAAACATGGAGTCAGTTCAATCAGATTTTACAGAATAAATTGTTCCCAATGATGTGCACTTTAGACTAAAACTAAAAAAGTATTTAAATTGTTCCTATTTCGCTTTGTGTCAACAGGGCAACCGCTTTGCTGGGCTAAATCGCTCTTTTCCGATTGTGTTCCAATTAAATAGCATTTTACATTCTTTTTACATGCAGCATAAATACCATTTATTGGTGCCATAGAAAGCAGATTCAAATCTCCTGTGTTAACACACTGAATTCAGTGGGGAATATTAATCAAATTGATAAAACATTATACACTAGCGTGCAAAACTTTTTCACCACCCTAGTAAATTAATTACTTTTGTTAATTTTACCTCCAAATCGAGAGTGATCAGCAGTATCTATTTCTTCGTACATTTTATGATCTTTGAGGGTAAAAGAACAAGTTACTGCATTTTCGTTAATGCTGTATGGTGGGTGATAGAAAAAGCCTTGCAAAATTCTGGGTCACCAGCGAAAAGCTAACATTTCAGGAAATTTGTTTTTTTTATTGCAAAAAGTGATCTTTATTACTACATAAATTACAAAACATCAACGTATGGAGTTAGTAATTACTGTTGCTGCGTTTGGCTCAAAAATAGCCTCAATTTGATGTGGCTTTGAATGGAACAAGGTCCAGATTTTCTTATTGGGAATTGTTTACCATTCTTCTTGGTAGTAATTCCAAAACTCTTGGAGAGTGTTTTTTTTTTAACTCGTTGGAGCACTGCTTTTTTCCGTTCCCACAGTAGTTCAATTATATTAGCATAAGGACTTTGGATTGGTCAGTCTTCCAAAAGTTGAACATCATCCACATGAAACCTTTTTTTGTTGCACGTAAAGTGCGGCAAAGAGCCTAGTCATGAGGAAGAATTTCTCCCCCTCCGTAGTCTGTCAGAAGATGAGACCATAGTAAACTAGAATAGTTTTTGCCGTTAAGGTTTCCATCAACTTTTATCAATTTTCTTTTCCCACCGCTTTTGATTCAATCCCCACGCCACCAACAAAGTTTTACCGTTTTTGTGTTGTATATTGCATTGTTTCTTTATCCCACTGGTCTTCTCACATATTCTCTTGCATTAGAACGGAACTTTATTTTGCATTCATCACTAAAAATTACTTTTTGCCACCTTCCAACATCCCATATCAAATGTTTCGTTTACTACACCAATCTTCTATTGCAGTGTTTTGATTAATGATTTTGTTTTGGCTGCCATACGTCCGTACAAATTGTTTTTTTTTCGTAATACTCTCCGTATCGTATCA